CTGATGCTTACAGAAAGAGCCCATAAATAACTTTGGAAATTGCCCCAATTTTAATTAACTGCCTCCTGTCACATTTTTTTTTACAACAGGATGACCAAATGGAGTCTGGAGCAAGATAAGAATTCAGGCAGACAGACCTCCATTCATCCCTAAATTTGGGTAGTCACATTCCCCCAGGAAAGCTGGCACCACATTTATGAATAAATCAATATGTAACTTTTTCTCCCTCCTATCCCACCAACTATATAAGTCCTGAGAACAAAGGACTCCCTCTCTCTCTCTCTCTCTCTCTCTCTCTCTCTCTTTGTCTCTCTGTCTCTCTCTCTCAGCTCAGGGGGCTCTTGGCTCTTGGGCCACAGGGCCTCTGGCCACCCGGCCTTAGGCTGCCCAGGCGCTTGCTACCCTGGTCTTCAGCCACTGTTGCTTTTATCACTTTGCTTTGCTCAGAAACTTTCCCTTTCACCTCCTACTCTACCCAGTCCTGTTCTCTTCCATGGAAGTGGACCACTAATAAACTGATTGCATACTACTAGGTTTGCTGATATGTAATTCTTTACATGTGTCAGCAAGAAGAACCAGGTCTCTCCCGTCAACACTATAGTCAAACTTTTTGCCATATATTTTGCATACTTTGGAAACTTGTTTAAGATTTCTCTCAGTTCAATGTCACAAAAGCAATCTATATTATCTGTAGGAGACCATTCAGCGTGGCGTGGGCCCAGCTCCCACTCGCAGATGCATAGGGCCCATACCCATGGATAGGTTCTCCTGTGGGCAATCAGGCCTGCAATGTGCCTAGGCTGCTTTGAGTCTTGCTTTTTGCTAAAAATTCCCTTGCCCTGATTTGTAGCAAACATTTGCTGCTAAGTAACTTCCTAAAATCCTTTCTAAACATTCCAAGGATGAGTGTAACCAGTTCAACTACTTTTGCCTTTTCACCTGCAAATATCCCTCTTCTACAATGTGATTAGAGGCATTGGCTCCTTTGTTTTCTGTAAAAGGTAACCATGTAAAGCAACCTGTGCATAGTAAATGAGGACCATCATGTAATGTACCCAGAGATAGAAATAAAGACTGGTCACGGTCACAGAGGAGGCCTCGGCTTTTGCTCCCCCTGAGAGAAAAGCCATGCTGTCCCTTTTCCTCCACCGGACTCGGTAGTCCATGTGAATGTCTCATTTCATCCATAATGATGTGGACACTGTGGGCCAGTGTCTTCATCAATTTTCTTCTTTAATTTCAGATTTCAGTCCATTTTGATCCTAGCATTGAGGTTTCTGGATTTTCCTGAACTAGTTGGTCACAGTCTCTTGTTCATTTGCTCCATGCACTTGTGTTGAGGTACCTGGAGCAGATCCAGGATACAGAAAAAAGTAGATAGAGAGTTTAACAGTTGGTGGGGAAAAGGAAGGGGTAAATGGTATCATGATTAGACTAAATGAATTAAGAGCTGAATAGGTGCAGGCAGAGAAGTGAATTGGTAGAAAAGGCTTAGTTGGGAAGGTGGGACCTGAGCTGTGCCCTGAGGAAGAGGGAGATGCAAAAGCAAACAGGGAGGGGTGGGAGCTCCTGGAGAAGGAGGCTATAACAGGGCCAGCAGAGTGTAGAAGGGCAGTGGAAGGGCAGGATGGAACAGTGAGAAGACTGGGGGACCCCTTTGAAGGATGCAGAAGACAAGAGTTAGTGAAGACATGGAGGATTTTGAAAACCAAGCAAGGCACAGGGATTTGCTATAGGATAAAATAGATATTCATCATCAGTGTATGTGGCGGGAAGAACAAGTGAGGGTAGTAACATTTTTACATGAGGGTATGGTAGAAGGTTAAGAAGAGCAGGCAAGCTGGAGAACAAGGGAGTGGGAAATCAGGGAGACAAGAAGAATCACCTGGTCTTCCTTGACAGGATGAGGACCTTTCCTAGATGAGGTGGCAGGGATTAAAGTGCAAGGTCTCATGACATTGTGAGGGAGGAAATCAAGGCAGGTGTTTGGTATATGAAAAATGAAGCACAGCGTGGGCTCCCACGTCTCTGGCATTCTGAAAAAGGGGATTGCTCTATGGCGTGCTGCAGGGGGCTTTGAGACACATTTCATGAATGCAAAGTCTTAGTATGTGCATGTGGCCCAATGCACAGTAACTGACTTAGCAAGAGCTTGATAAATGTTTAATAAATAAGTGAACTTGTGGACTTGGAGCACTTATCGAACACTCTAAATGAAACATTCTCCGGACAGCTGAAGTACAAACTGATGGATGGAAATTGATATTGTCCCACATCTTGCCCCACTCCAGCACCCACTGGGAAAAGCAAAATAACAATAATAATAATAACAATAATAATAATAAACAGTGACATTGAAGAAACAATAAGAAAGGTAGGAAAACAAGGAAAATATCTTGGAATCTTAGAATTTCAAGAAGCTTGGTGGCATCATCAAGGGCCACAGAAATCACTTTGTGGTCACTGGTAGGATTTTGGAGAGCAGAGCATGAGGACACAGAGTTTAATAATATGTGTTGACAGGGGGAGAGTAGAAGGGCATCAACCATTTCAGCATTATTTATTTGGCTTTTATGAACAATTTATCTCACCCCTGCTGAGTGCCAAGGAATGCTGCCCGTGAACAGCCAGGGTTCACCCACCCTGGTGCTACATGATGGGATTATCATGAAGTTGATCTGAAACAAGCAAGTTCAAGGATGACCAGAACCACCTAGCTCTTGAGTCTCTAAGTTGTCTAAGAGAACTTTGGTCATTATCTTCTCCATGCAGCTGCCAAATGTCCAATTCAACAGATCTGGGAAGAGGCTGCATCACGCTGGGAAGATAGGAGCTACACCACCACACACGGAAACTGATCACTCATCTCCACAATCTGTCAGAGAATGTTTGTGAGGCTTTTAGCTGGGTTTCAGGTAAAATCCAGAAAACAGCTTGGGCTCCTTTGAAAAGAGTGGCGGAGTCCTGGCAAGGCAAATCAGTTCACTTCTAGGGCTTCAAGGTGCTCAACCATGTAATTTGTGTGGAATAAAGCCCTGAGCTTCAGTCATTTTTTAAACTCATTCATTTATCACAACTTTTGCAGTTTCCCAAGGGCTTTTTCTTTAATGGAGCATCAGAATGAGCCAGGGAGTCATGCTGGAATTTTCTTATAGCTTGATTATAGGTTTCGTCATGTCATAAGAGAGGACTCCAAATTCTGAACACATACTTTCCCTGGAGCACAGAGTAGGTATGGTGTTCCACTCACTCAGAAGCTGTCCAGCTTTTCAGAAAGAGCAGTCATTGGTGGAAGCAATAACAGCACAGTGCCTGGAGCTGTTCCTATCCCAGGGTCCTAGCTAGGCTGAGATATTGTTAAAAATTCAAATTGCCAGAGTGTTTTGCTGAGCAAGTATATACATTGCTCAGATTTAAATGTGTGTCTGTATGTGGTAGGAATGCAAGAAATGTGTATGTTTCATAAAACCCACAAGCTTTCTTTCTCTAGTTCTTTGAAGGTCCTTTAAACTATCTGAAGTTCCGAATGGCACTGGGTTTGTAAGAGAAATCTTAAACTAAACTACAAAGGGGAGGCTTCATAGGACTTAGTGGGTCTTCCGCCTTTTGGAATAAAGTGTAGCTACCAACACCAATATATGACTGGGTGACACGCCAGGGTGGTTTGGTGGCCCAAGAACTTGAATTAAAGTAACTAAGAAAGGGAAGTGATAGGATCTTTCAAACTAGTAACCACAGGAAGTCCTTGAAACTAACTACTCACAGGTCCCTCAGAAAATTCACTGAAATGGAAAACATGTTCCTTCCTTATCTATAGGCATTTCTGGAGAATGCCACTATCTCATTCTCCTCCCTCTCATCCTCTTAATTTTCACTGCTTTGGGAAATTTAGGATCTTGAAAATTAACAAATAATCTGATTTCCTTATTTGGTGTTAAATTTTTTTCAAATGCTATACACTAGGACAAAGTAGCTAATTAAAAGCATGTCATTTTTGAAGAATTTGTTAAATTCCTCCAGGAATGTTATGAGTGCAGGCTGTACTTATTGAAGGAATTATGTCCTGCCCAGCTGTGCACTTGAGGAGTCAGTTTGGCAGGAGCAGGAGAGGAATTTCAGAAGAGCTTTTCTAGGCAATGAGCTTGTAGAACATCAGGCAAATTTATTTAAGAACTACTTTTTCACTCTTAGTTTTCAACTTCTCTTGTGTACTCTTAATGCCAGGAAGGGGATCTATTATAAATCTTACAGTGCTGCATGTTATTTGCTAAGTTATTAGTTATGCTGCTGGGCAGTGCATGTTGTTTTCTTGTGCCAGACTAGAATTCATGATGATCCAGCTTCCCTATAAATTAGCCCTTGGAAAAATCTTGGGTCAGTAATTGCTATTTCCCTAATAACATTTAAACATCAGAATCAGAAATCCATCTGGAGATTTCAAACAATCAATCAGAAATACATACCAAAATTAAAAGTCTAATAATACGCATTCTTGATCAGCTTCATTGCATATAGAATTATATTGGCAAAAAAAGAGTCTAAATGAAATGGAAGGTTTTTGCTTTAAGAATCATCTTCCATAAATAATGGTCCTTCTAATCTATTCCATCTGATCTACTTTTCTTTTTATGTACCTACAAACATAAACATGTCAAAAAGAAGTTACCAAAAAATGAGGCCGATGTGAGAAGAAATTGCTGATTATGAAGGTCATCATCAGGTTTTCCCTGATGCACAGAGTGGGGGTATAGGGGGCACCTCTGCAGGGCCTTCATCCACAGCCATTATTCATGCTGTAGTGCCTGTCAGGCTGCGGGGACCAGCAATCACTGGAATGAAGGGACTGTAGGAAGAGAGGGGGGCTGTGGAGCATAACGAAGAGCAACAAGATTTCTGCACAAATAACAACTCTAACTAAAACTGTTTTAAGTAGTGCATGCAACTGAGACCAGCTTTCCAGAATAAAAGACTCATCAGAAGGAATTGAGGTAATTGCTGGAACTGACCAAAGGTTTATTAGGAATGACAAGCACTGAAAACATTATCATTACAGATGATTTATAGATACAGCATATATCACCTATATTATTTTTAGGGCAATCTGTGAAGAGGAGTTGCATAAATATAAGGAGCTCCTTTTACATATTCTTTTGGGGTGGGATTATATGCCCCATTGTCTAGCCAGTCTCTGAAAGGCAAGTTAAGTTCACTGCTCATCCCCAGTTACCTGCCTCCAGCTGCAGCAGCCAGACTTCTAGGGCACCAGGCTCTGCCTTCTCCATGAAGACAACAGCTCTGACATGCTATCTGTCATCACACCCTTAAAAATGCACATTTTGAACACAGATATGGTCAACTTTTTTGGCAATGGGATGGCTAGTCTGTTCTGAGGCAAAACTGCAATTGTAATGCCAGGTAAAATAAGAGCAATGCATGTAACAATGATACTTGAGAGGCAAATGGCTATCATGGAAGGGAAAGAAAGCAACTTCATGTATGTCATTTTGTGCATACACACAGATTCAGGAGTGATGGGAACTAGCTTGTGTGACTGTGTATATATGTGTGTGTGTGTGGAGAGAGAGAGAGAGAGAGAGGTTTTGGAAAAGAACATCAAAAACTTCTGCAGCAGTTTACTTTTGAACACAGTAAACTTGAAAGGGGGAAAGAGAGATCACAAACACACGGGCTCACACCTGCACTGGGGAGTAAGATAATCTTGTACTACAGGGTAATTCATCACATCTTCTGCAGGGCAGCCTCTCAATACCACACACTTGGTGAAGAGAAATTAAGGTTCTGGTCTGGAGAAAACTACTTCAGAATTGGTGGGAGGGAATTAAGTGCCAGAATCTCCACAGCTTGGACAAAGCACAAACAAACCCTTTCTTAATAACATGAGGACCATTTAGGACTTTCTCCTTCATTCACTTTTTTCCTTACACTTTTTTGCACACGCATTCCATTGATGTCCTTTTAAGCTTCGTCCAGCATCAGTCTGTAAATCATCAGGAGTGTAATAGCAGAAGTGAATTCTGCAGGTTTTCATGAGGGTTTAAAAACCCCCAAACCAGGCTCTTTCTACAATACTTTTGGCCCTAAACCAGGCGCTGGGTGAAGTTCTCTGGAAAGAGGCCTTTGTAGGTGGCGAGATCTCTGTACTGGAGCCAGTCTGATTCCTTCACTCCTACCAGCCAGCCGGCATCCTGCAAGCAAGATAAGACAAGGCTTTCAAGGTCCAACTATTGAAAAATCTGCACTGCCAACAATTAACAAAATAATTTGTTAAAGAAGTGGTGTAGTTCTGCACCAAGATGTTACATTGAGTGTAAACTGCTGTGTTGATACAGGGAAAACTAATTGAAGGTTAGTATTGATATTACAATTTATATAAAGTACACTTAATTGACATGAGTCGTTAAGAAGGAGAAAAGAATTAGAATTACAGCCAGTACAAACACAGGAACGCCACATGAAAGTAAGTCATGCACAGGAACACCTCCTGTCCTGTGGGTCATGGTAAAAAAAGGCTTGAGGAACCCTGTGTTAGGAAAAACTGCTGACAAAGCTACAGAAGGTCTCATATTTCATCCTGAACCATTTGCTGATGAGAAACAACACTGTCGTTCTTTCCTCCAGTTCACATCACATACCCAAATAAACCACCATATACCAGGCTTATCAATAATAACAGCTAGATGTGTTACCTGATATTTCTGTCGTGTTTGTTGCTGCTGTGATAATATCTAATTTTTTAAGTTTACATAGTACAAAGTAGTTTGTTGTCATGATGGTCCTGTTGGAAACATTTGTATGTTCTGTATAAACTATTCCTTATAAACATTTGTGTATCTCATAGAAGGTATCTGCCTTCATGTGTATCTGCCATCATGGAAATGCAGATATGTCAAAGAAAGGTTGAAGAAAGGTTAAAGATCCCATCCCTATGTGGTCATACAGCATTGGAGATTGTATGTAAAACTGAGAAACAGAGGCTGCCATCTGCCCTTGGCCTATGGAAGATAAACAGAGCCTAAATGGAAAAGCTGAGGTAAAGGAACAATATGAAACATAAGGACCATGTGAAGCAAAACTAGTGGGGAATGACTGTTTTTACTATGCTAACTAATCGCCTGAAGCAATCCCTCTTAAGATGAGGGATGGCCAGATTTAACCCAAACCAATTCCCAAAAAAGTTCAAGTACCTCAGATAAAATGAAGACTTAAAAATTAAATAAAGAAGCTGAACATATTCCCTTGTAATAAATCTGAGACTATAAATCAATGCTGCTAAATAGATAAAAATATAAGCATTTAGACGGGACAATTTTTGAAGGTAGAAAAATAGATTGAGAAAAAGATGACAGTAAAATAACTAATAATATCCTAGCTGATGACAAAAATTATAACGTTAAAATTATAATGTTAAATTTTGTGTTACAGACATGAAGAACAAAGTTATACCTAAAGTAAAGGGTGATAACTATATTTTCTTTCTATCTTATTTTATTTTTTAAATTAAACTTATTGGATTAACATTGGTTAATAAGATTATATAGGTTCCCAATCTATATTTCTATGATATAAAGTATTTTCTAAAGCTCCAGTAAGTATACAAAAGGCCACATTTCCCCCATAAGTGTCTATATTTTATATTTGACTTTATTTACTATGAGTGAAAAATCTAATGGCACCAAGTAGAGTCATGCATTTAAAATTGTATCAATAAAGAAGAAAGTAAGGGACTTGCACAAACCTATAATCAAGATATATTTAAACACATATGCCGAAATACAATTTATGTGGTAAAGTGAAGAACATTATTAGCCAATATCAATCTTTATCTGAGGAAAATACATAAAATTGAATTTTAACTATTTAAAATATGTGGTAGACTAAGAATCTCCAGTTTTGGTAAAGGTAAAAAAGCTTGTATCAGATAAAGGCTTATTCCCTGAGCAAATGTAAGCACTAAAATAACTACTGAACACATATTTATATAATACCTAAAATACATATGTATAGCTATATACAATTACTTATATATAGAAAAGACTGTTACAAAATATGGAATACAAAATATAAGCTTATATAATTCCATCATTAGAAATAAATGGGGTGACCCATATATAACACCTGTGTGAAGGCACTGAGTAAGCGAGAGCAGGCAGCAAGCAGTAGAATATTTAATGCTGGTAGGTAGGGTACTGCCCAGGGGAGACTTATGCTAGCACAGCTGCCCCCTGTGGATGCTCCTCAGTCTGTGTGGTGCAGAGCATACAGAAATGAGAGCTGGGGGAAGCGGGACTTTTATGGGGAATATCTCGAGGAAAAGGAGAGAGCTGTGGAGAAAGTTCCCCAAATAGGCAGAGAAGCTTCCCTGAAACCCTGAGCTGTCCCCCTGCTGTGAATGCATCAGGGGGACCCCATGGAGCCTAGGGAAAGCAGGAAGGATGGAAAGGATGAGGAGAGATTCAGGCAGTGGAGGGGAGGCAGAGTTTAGAGTTCAAATCCCATCAAGTTAGAGGGCTTGGTAAACTCAATGGGATTTCGACTGAAATCCCAGATGGGGCATGTCTTAAGAAGTAGAGACCATGGTCCAGGACTGGGAATTTATCCTACAGTAAGGCAACATTAAAACAGACCCATGCTAAGAAAGTATAAAACAAATTTCCATGAATTCAAGGTAATTAACCAGTAGTTTGAATGCCTACTAGAAGAAATAATCTTCATTCATAGATAGGAAATAGAATCCAGATTGTTTAATGCTTTACACATTGCATTCAGTACCAATGAAAATAAATTTTACAGGAGAGGGGAAAAACAAACAAACAAACAAACAGGGGAACTGCCCTGGATGGTGTGGCTCAGTGGATTGAGTGCTGGCCTATGAACCAAAGGGTCGTAGATTTGAATCCCAGTCAGGGCACATGCCTGGGTTGCAGGCCAGGTCCCCAGTAGGGAACGTGAAAGGTGGGTGACCACACATCAATGTTTCTCTCCTCCTCTCTCTCTTCCTTCCCTTCTCTAAAAATAAATAAAATTAAAAAAAAACAAAAAAACAGGAAAACAACCAAGTGATAAAAAGCAATCAATATATGTGTGTCCAGGATAGTCAACCTTTTGAAATTAGCAGTAAGAAATTTAAAGCAGTTATTATAAATATGTTCATATACTGAAAAGATGAGAACAGAAAAGAAATCTCAGAAAGGAGATGAAAATTATATAAAAGAACAACATAGAAATTATAGAATAATGTAGATAACATCCTAAGTAAAAAAGACACAGGATAAGCTTCACAACAAATTCAAAGTAGTAGGAAAAAGGGTCACTGTACTTAAAAGGCAGGTTAATGGAAATTACCCAACCAGAGTACCAGAGAGAAATAAATATTGAACAAGAAAGAATAGTCTTAGATATCTAAAAGTCCAACATATATAGAATTGTAGACAGAAAAAGAAGAGAAAGAAAAACATTAAGAGATAACAGCTGAAAGTCTTTCAAATGAAAGACATCAGGATACAAGTCTAAAGGATCTCAGTAACCTCAAGCATGAAAACCATGAAAAAACAAGAACTAATCACATTACATTTCGAATGGTGAAACACGATACTGGCAAGTTCTCAAAATCTGTCAGGGCAAAAGTCACAGTATTAGTACTTTTAAAGTGTGGAAGTAAAAAGTTAACTCAAATTTTTTTCCTCTAGGGAAAAAATATTTAAAAACAAACATGAATAAAATTTTCAGATAAACCAAAGCTGAGCTGAGAGGAATTATTGCCAGTAGATCAGCACTCCAGGAATTGGTAAAGGCTTTTTTTTTTTAACTCACCTGAGGATGTACTTTTTTCATTGCTTTCAGAGAGAAAGGAAGGGAGAGAGAGATTGAGAGATGAGAGAGAGAGAGAGAGAGAGAAAGAAACATCGATTGGTTGTCTTCAATGCACAAACCCTGAGTGGCGCTTCAACTGCAACCTGTATACGTGCCTTGGCTGGGAATCAAACCCCTGACCCTTGGGTCTATAGGGCAATGCTCCAACCTGCTGAGACACACCAGCAAGGGCAAGGCCCTTTTCCCTCTTAATTTCTTCAAAAGATAGCTTATGATTAATGTAAAAAATGTAAATGTGTATTTTATAATGTTTTATAAGTTTATAATATATTTTATAAGTTTAGAATGAGGTATTTGAGATCATCACTTTTACCTGATATTGTTAATATATGCCTTTGTCATTTCCTTTGTCTGTTTGAAGAGTATTTCTAGGGTTTTAACAATTTTATGAATCTCTTCAAAGAATATTTGGCCTTATTAACATTTTCTACTGTCATTTTTATTGCATCCATTTGTGAATTCTTTTTGTTACTTTTTTCCATCTATGCATGTTGTATTTAATTTTATCTATTTTTATCTTCTTAGGCTGAAAACTTATGAATTAATGATCACTATGAGATATTTTTTAACTTGCTCTGATTTCTTTGACCCATGGTTTATTTAGAAATGTATTTTTAAATTTTTTAATTATTTAAGGATCTTACAGATATTTTATTATTATTAATTTGTAACTTAGTTTTATTGTGGTGGAAACTCTTGTTTCCTTGACCCAGAAACTGACCTTTCTAAGTGTATTATCAAGAAAAGGAGCCAAACATGGGGCATGCAAGTCTTAACCTCAAACACAGTGACTTTACTATATGGAGGGAGGCTCATAAATTTTTTTGAGAAGATTACAGAAGTTATAGCTCTTCTCTCTGGAAAAACACATTGACAAACACAATTTACACATTTTGCATGCCATTTTAGGGGTTCACAAATCTTATGAAGAAGAGCAAAATGGAGTTCTGAGCTCCTTAGCATCAGGTCACTATGCTTTTTATCCCCTGGAGGTTATTTTTTTAAATGAATCTTCTAGAAAGGAGATATATTTAAACACGGTGAAATGCAAGGATTGTTAAGTGGACAGCTCCGATGAGTTTTGACAAATGCATACCATGTGTAACCAAAGCCCCTATCAAGATATAAAACATTTCCATCCCCCAGACATCCCCTCATGATCTTTCCTTGTCAGACTCAACACCTTCATAGGAAACTACCTGTGAAGGGGGAGTTGTAGTGCACATGGACAGTGTCTGCATTTCCTGAGGACTGGTGATCACAGGCAAATCCCTAGAAAGCAGATACCTAATAAGAAATAATCTATTTGTATAAAAGAATAAACAATGTAATGGCATCCCAAACCTAAAATGTGTGATGCACTATGGTTATAAGTCCTTAACTCCTTCTTGGAGCTGCCCTGCAGCATCTCAGAAAATGAAATGTCTTTAGGAAGTCAGTGTGCCCAACTGACCCTAAAGGAAACCAAATATAGCCTGTAGCACTTTCCAATCTCATCCTTTACCTGGTCAGCCTCTGAATCCGAGGGGACAACCAAGACCACGTCGCCCCTTTGTAAGGTAAGTTCATCAGAATTTGCTGCTTCAAAGTCATGCAGTGCTTCCACCTGCAAGATTACAAAAGAACTGATTAATGTTATAAAGGAAAATAGAGGTCAAATCTGCCTCCCAGTCAATGAGCTGCAGGCACTCTTACCAGCATCTCCAAGCTAGATGAAAATTAAGACATGCATCACACCTCAAAGAAGGAAAAGGCCTCTGAAGGCAGAATGGAAATCCTCTTCCCTGTTTACTTAAAACATCTGATTCTGCCAGATTGATGCTGAGGTATTTAGTCATGCAACACCTTCTGCTAGAGCTGATATGTTGTGCATTAATTAGTTTAATTTGTCATATTTTTATTAATTTGGTAAATTGTTTTAAACAATAAATAATAAAAATAAAAATTGTTTATTTTTTAACCTGAATTAAAAATGCTTAGCTAAATGTTCTTCTAACCACAGCTTCTGGCATATTGGAAAAACTATCACTATTTATAATAAAATCACTATTTAATCAAACCTGTGTTCAATCTCTTTGTAAAAAAACTTCCTTCTTTTCCTATCCTGTCTTTTAAACATGACAATCTGTTTCTATTTCCCTTTGTTGAAAGATTTCTTTAAAATTTGATCACAGAAAATTTAAAAAGTAGAAAGAATAATAAAATGACCCCCCTTTATGTTTATTTCTTTCATGTACCCTCAACCTCTCAACCCCACTCATGAGATTAAAGAATCAGCTTTTAAAATCCGTGTTTTGCATGTAGAATCACAAACTGTCAGAGCAGAAAATTACTATATTATCTGCAAATTCATTTTTTGGATGAAAAACCTGAAGCCCAAAGAGGGGTGAGTGGTGCTTCTAGCTCCCACTGAGGTCAGTGTGGGAAGCCTGGGCTGCCCAGCCATTCTGGCTTCCAGTGGCACACACATTGCGCCCTTGATTTCTTGTGCTGTAGGACAAAACACAGTGGGACACGTGCCCCCACTAGCCATAGGTTTAATTTTCCCTTCACATAATTTGTCAATAACTCCACTACATCCAACCATCCCCATTTGAGTAGCAAGTCTGCAGTAACTGTCTGATGAGCAGCGAGAGTAGAAAAAGATTATGACTATTCAATCCTACCCCCACAAAAATTTAATGCTTTTTTTTAAAAAAGCTGAATTTTTAAATGTAAAATCAAAGTATGGAACTTATAATTCCCCAAAATATTTTATTAAGGAGAATTAGCTGCCTTTAACACTTGGTTGATGCCTGTGTTTCTAGGTATTTACTGTTTTTGTTTATTTCTTTGTTTTTAGTAAGGACCTTCAGTTTATGAAGGCTCTATGTAACTACTTGATGGCCTCTCTGAGCAAAACCTTCTGCACATAAATTTAGGCCTCTTTTTCTCTTCCTTTTCATAACATATTTGTTCACTTACTTTTAATGTGTGAATTGGCTCCCACCTCTGTGTCAGGCACTCTAACCAGGTGCCAAAGCTGAAGGGCTGATTGCTCTTTCCTGCCCTCCAGAGGTGTCTGACCCAGCTGGGGGCAGTTGAGCCCAGAGCAGAGGCCCCCAAAGAGCTCCCTGGGGGGGCACAAGAGGGCACTCAGGTGGAGGGCATTAACCCATTCCCCACCAAAGGGCATACCGTGTAATTATCCATTTATTAAAAATATCATTACTTTTATTTTATAAAAATATTTTATTTATATTTATTTTTTAGTATATTTTATTGATTATGCTATTACAGTTGTCCCATTTCTCCCCTTTCATTCCCCTCCACCCTGCACACCCTCTCCCACCCACATTCCCCCACTTTAGTTCATGTCCATGTGTCATAAGTTCTTTAGCTTCTACATTTCCCATACTACTCTTACCCTCCCCGTGTCTATTTTCTACCTATTGTCTATGCTACTTATTCTCTGTACCTTTTCCCCCCTCTCTCTTCCTCCCACTCCCCTGTTGCTAACCCTCCATGTGATCTTCATCCCTGTGGTTCAGTTCCTGTTCTAGTTGTTTGCTTAGTTTGTTTTTGTTTTTGTTTTAGGTGTGGTTGTTAATAATTGTGAGTTTGCTGTCATTTTACTATACATGTTTTTTATCTTCTTTTTCTTAGATAAGTCCCTTTAACATTTCCCAAAATAAGGGCTTGATGATGATGAACTCCTTTAACTTGACCTTATCAGAAAAGCACTTTATCTGCCCTTCCTGCCCTGCCTTTTAAATGAAAGTTTTGCTGGATAGAACAATGTTGGATGTAGGTCCTTGCCTTTTTTAAATGGAAAGATGTCACAGCAGTTCTTCTTTGTGCACAGCACAGAAACCCTGCCAGGTTGCACTGTGATGTGGGGATGGAGGGGAAAGCAGTACAAATAAAAAGTGTGTATTGCTAAAAGTAAAAGTAAAAATCAGAAAGCCAAAGGTTCCACTAAAAGGGGATCAAAGAAAATGGATAAATAGCTACCACATTTTAAAAATTAAAAATAGAAACACCTTGTAGAGAAAGCCAGGTGGCACTTGCTGAGAGGCTTGGCTTGCAGATGGAGCAGAGGCTGCTGGCTGGAAGTCCTCAGGGGCCTTTTGCTCAGAGGCCAACTCCGGCATCTCCCTGGTGGGGCCTGGAAGAGCTGAGTCTTCAGCTCCCTCCTTGGACTCTACACCTATAGTTGTTTCGTGGTCTCCCTCCCCTTCATTGTTGGAAGCAGGCTCTATGACAACAGAAGGAATGACCTTCTCCTGGGAGAAGAAAAATGTGGTGGTCCTTTAGAGACAAGACATTTGCATCCTCACCATTACACCATCTGTGGCTCCCACTTCCCCCACCCCCTTCATTCAACCAAATTCCTGCTGTGTCCCAGACGGGATTTAGGATTTCTGGCCCTTGGGCTATCCACTTTCCGGACCTCTCCAGAATCCAATACCCTTAGTGGGATTAATTTCTGGATCTTGGAACAGTCATCCATTTTGGTAAGAGCGTGGTTTCTGTGTCACCTGCGAAGAGGGACAAAAGACTGCAGGGAGGAAGATGAGTCATGGTGGGTTGGAAGAGAGAGTCCTGCAAGGAAATGCAGTCAGCTTCCAAGGTTGCTCTCACCTGTGCAGTGGTTTGTTCTTGTCCCACTACATGCTAGCACTCACTTGAAGCCAACCATATCCTTGTGTAAGTGCTTTTCTCTGAGAGTCTCATGGAACTCCCAAAGAGCCTGAAACCACATTGCTGGTAAAGATGAGGCCCATGATTGGAGGTAATCTACCTGTCCTTTGCTTGTTGATTATCATCAGAGCCACACCACAGTCACAGTTTAAGGGCTAACAATTCCCACCAACCACTCCAAATCCTCTGTTGTCTGGGAAAGCAGAATCAAAGGATCAAGGCCTCCCCTTTGTGTTTTGACAAAGATCAGCAAGGAGGGGAACTTAACTCCAATAATGAAAGTCTGGAGATATTTCTTGCTTTTCTGATTAACTTCTATATTCCCTCAGATGTAAGGAGACCTATGCACTTCTGTTCTTCAATTCAGAGAAAATAATACACTCTTTCAACAATAAAACACAAGTTTTCTTGGCATGGTGACAAGAAAGTATTACAAAAAATAAAATACACTTTTGAGACATTTCTGCAAACACCAATTCAACCTGCTGATTTTCTAGTGGGATGAAAAGGATAATTCGGTTTCAAACTTTCCGTAACTCTGGACAGGCTTCTGGAAATTTATCATGAGTAAGATAATGAGAAACATGGAAAGTGTAACATTAAGCTCACTCTTCACTGTTACTCCTAGAATACAGAGGAACCAAACATGGGTTTTAGAGGAGCGGTCCTTGCAGGGTACCCTGGTTTGAGGCTCCCACAGCCAAGGCATAGATGGCAGCGTAGCCTTGAACGCTCCTCTGAAGGAAGGAAGAGCTTGGGCAAAGTCCAGCTTCATGTATGTAGTTAATAACCCACTTTCCTTTTGAAAGTGCAACATAAGGATGGGCTTCAGGTAAAAGGAGCTTAATTTGGAATGAATTTGGGTTCATAGCATGTGCCTGGCACCAGGCTAAGTACTTTATGGCTATTTCCTCACATAATCCACACAACAACCTTATTATTCTGTCAGATTCCCTTTCTCCTCCATCTATTCTCATGCTTTCTGTCATTTGTGCTTCTTTCCTCTCCCCCATCAGTTTATTGCATAGTTTCCTTTCCTCTCTCTGTGCTTAATTTAAGCCCAGTCCACATAGCACTGGGGCTTGTGTGGAGCCCCCAAATACTGACATTGAGGAAATGCTGTGTGCTGTGACTACTCTTTTTGAGAATCTAACTTTTTGTTTGTTTGGTTTTGGGGGAGTATGCCACAAAATGGCTATTCCTCATCTTAAAGCATTATCACCATTAACCAACAGACAGAGCATCCCTCTGTGCCATCTCTCCAGAACCTCCATTTCACTGGGACACATACCTGAGGTGCTGCTGTTTCTGTGTCTTCTGGTTGAGCTCTGTCACTGCCTATGACCTCTGAGGCTTCAGGATCAATCCTGGCCTCCTCTAAACTTTCTCTTTTGCCAGGATGAAGAGCAGCCTCCTCTGCTTCTGCTTCTGTTGTTGGGGCCCCTTCCGCTGCGGACACCAGCATTCCAACAGTCCCATCAACTTCAGTTCCAGGTAGGATCTGCAAGCCAGAATCAAAGGGGCCATGTCTGTGTCTCCAGGGCCTCAGGAGGAGTTAGACTTAGCCCTTTCCCTTCTCTCCCCTCTGCTGAGGCTCATTGGATTTCCAAGTTTCCTTGGCAATGTACTGAGACCCAGGATTCTGGTACAGCAGTCCACCATCAGTTGACCAAAACTCTGACACCCTCCTTTCCCTGAGCACCCACAATGCTTCTTTCTGTAGCAAATGGAATTTGAGTGGAAGCAACATATACCATTCCTGAGACAGGGCTTACAAAGTGTGGATGGCCCCTCCTAGCTAATTCCACTTTTGTTGCCTGAAAGCAGATGATACAAGGCCCTAGAATACACCTGAGCCACAAAGTGGGTGGGGCCTGGCCTCAGTACCAGGGTCATGGAACAGAGCTACATAGACAAGCCTCCCCATCACACAAAGTCAGAGCTTAGAAAGACTGATTTCCGCATAAACTTAAAAATCTTCATGGGGAAGGTCCCAGAAATTAAATCACATTCAGGGAGAAAAAAAAACTAGGGCATTTTCTCATGAGACTTCTTGAGAATGAAGGAAAAATCATTTTATTATTGAATATTCATTATTATAATCAAAGTCAAATAAGATTTTGTCTCCTTTACTGGGAGTAATAAAATGCAAAAGAAAAAAAGAGAGAGAAAAAAAATTTGATTTGTAAGGTTGAACCAGTGAACAAATTGGTTGGAGTTTTAATCAAGATTCTGACTTTATCTTGGCCAACCTGATTTTAGAGGTTCAAATCAGAAAGATGAGGAAGAAGGAGCCCAGGACACATACTTCAAAAATCGATCTTACTATTGATGTGATTAGCATTAGACATCCTTTCTTTTATCAGATAAATTCAACCCAATTTGTGCTATGAAGTTAGGAAAACTCTCATGCTGCTGATAACTACTGTCCAACCAGAGCACTGAAAGGGAGACACCTGCAGAATGGGCATCAGAACTGGGTGGGCAATGGAAAACAACCACACACCTGTGGCTCATGGCAAGGCAGTAAAAAAAATTCTGATTAAAATTTATAGGTAAGAGATTAAGTAAAAATGACCTGTTGCAGGATACATGTTTCTACATTGTAATATTTTATTTAGGAACCAAAAACTGTGTTATTGACTGTAGTGTCTGTTGTAGGACCAAGAGCTAGTCACATTCTTAGAAATTTACTTTCTTCTTTTACAGGAATCTCTTATTCTGAGAATTTGGCTCTCCTGAGTGTGCATTAGTCCAAAATGTAGTCACTAACCAAGATGTAGCATTTATTTCCTTTTTCTACTTTGTCATTGAAGTACATAGGTTCAGAATTGTAGCATATTTATTCAAATGAATTAGAAATGCTGATAGTGGGGTAACAGCTATATAGGGTTTATATTTTGATGAATGACTGAAAATTTCCATAATAAAAGTTTATTTAAAATTTTAAGAGAAGTGCTCTTCTTGCTTTAAATAAACATTGACTGTTTTATGGCTGTTATTTTCCTATTGTCAAGAGAGTAATAATAAGAACATAAATATGGGTGTTTTCTTAATTCTAGGAAGAACATTGAACACTTCCTTGTACATTTATTGTTGGGGAAGCCAACAAGCTTTTTTCTAGACCCTAAGGACATAGCAAAGTTGCCTCCACATCAGAAACGGTACCAAAACTTACAGAGGGGTAATGGGCTTAAATGCAGGAAGCAGGTTGTGTTGTCACAGTTCTAAGTGATTCATGATTTCCTACTCATCTAGAAAATCACACTACAGAGTGACCACCCCACTCGTTTCCATAGCTCCATACCAGATGGACTCTAGCTACATGCAGACAGTGTGAACAGACAGTGAATACCACCACGTGCACACAGACATACATATTGCTACAGGTAACAAAGCAGCCACTATGTAATTTTATAGGCTATTCCCTCAAGTGATTATACATAAATTCTTCTGTACATATAAGTTGCAAGTAATTGTATATCATTTTTAACTGAATACTACTAATTGAATACCATTCTCAACTGAATTGATATAGTTCCAGAAGAGAATATATTTCTAGGAAGCATTGATGGTGTCCTCAAAGGTAATTTAACTCTCTCCATACAAACAAAACATTAATAAGTTCCTAGTTTGTACCTGGAGCTCCATATACCTATCAACTTGATTATATCACAATTTGCTATGGCAAGACATACATGTTTTCATCTTTCCTTTGTTAAATGGTTTAAACAGGTATCATTGGCTGGATCTGATTTAGACCTGACAGTGTGACTGCTGTGATGCCAGACACCAGCAGGTGGAGCCCAAGTGCGACATCTGTTGCTCTGACTTTCCTTGACCTGGCAGGAGCAAATTTCAGGGCAGCAATTTACCTGATCTCTGTCTCTGCCACACACACACACACACACACACAGGGTAGAGCATGTAGAAAATTGTTTGTAAGAATGAGGGCAAATAAAAATCACCAAAACATTGATATTAACAATGCTGATAGAGTCAGGGTGCCAAGGAAACTGCAATTTTGCCTACAGAGGGAAATTTGATTGACTTGCTTAGAGAAGGGATGAAATTAAGTTCTCCATCCTTCTCTAAGACCATTAGCAATGAATTCCGATTTCTCTAGCCACAATCAGCATTTTGATTTTACAGAGTCTGAGAACACTGTAGAAAGAGAGAAGGACTGTCCACTGCCTAGAGTTCCTCACATCTTTCTGCCTCTGGCATTGCTCTGATTATCTGGGGTGCCCCAAGGCTCCCTTTGTGTCTGGAAATAAATCTGTGGTTTATCTTCTGCTCTTACCAAAGTATTTCTACTGTATACTTACTGACTGCAATAATAGGACAACATAAAAATATACCAGAAAACAGGATTCAATTTGCTCAAATTAGGTGTTAATTCCAAAGAAAATAGAGAAGAGATTGCAAAGGTTTTCAGGGATAAAGTTATTCCTTTCTTATTACTTTCATGCATTCCAATTTGTTAGCCACTTGTAGATTTAGAAAAGAAAAACATTTTCTAGACTTTTCTTGCTGCCATACACATTACACCTGCTATGAATTAGCAGGTATAACAATGATTAATGACTGCTTGTTTATCTAAAGTATTATCAGAGAGACCAGAGGACTGAAACTACTGAATATATTTCAAGACTTTGATATTCAATGTTATTAAATTTTTCTCCTCATTCCAAATGTTAAGGATTACACCATTATCTTCTGCCAAAACTATAGTATCTGTTGGCCAAATATATTTATGGTGGAAAACGTCTACTACAAAGAGAAACTAAAAATGTCTCCCTGCCCTGTTGTTTAGTTGGCACAAGGACCCTGACAGTTTCCACATTAATCACATAGAAATCACAAGGGTCAGCATGGGACCCACCTTTGAGATAGTGATCAGTTCTCTATTTATCATTTTATCATACAGATCTTACTGCTTTTATATATTCTGCTTTGACAATCTCCTTGGTAGAAAGCAATACTATTATGGTATTCATGTCAGAGTCCTGGCAAACACCTCATTGCATTATAAAATTTTCTGGAAGTGGAATGAAATTAATGCAATGCAACAATGGCCTCATATCCTGCAAAGCAGGAAAACACAACTGGGTGACAAAAAATAGTCCTTCCGGGAGATTGTGCCTTGAAAGCAAGTCAACAAGGACTGAGGCCCCAGACAAGTAAAAGTAGTGACTGGCTGCAGGAGAATTTGTAATTTCTGAGCTTTGTATAATTTATTGATTTCTTTTACTTAGTCATTGTTTGCTTCCTTGGCAATAGTATCTCTCAGCAATGCCTGAGAAGCAGCTACCACTTGTGAAACTGGTCTAGAGTGTAACTGCAGAGAGTCCCTAGTAGGAAACTCCAAACTTATTTATAAAGCATGTTATTTTAAATAAATAGGACATTTTCTGATTAAAAATAAGGGAAACCATTGGTTCAAAAATTAAAGAGATAACTTATGGTAACCTTTTGAGGTATTTATTTTTATTCATTGATATGAATATAGGGGCTTTGTCTATTTTACAACACATAGATCATGTTTGTTAGAAAAATTCTACCAATGGCTAAATAATACTTCGTTTCCTTTTCTATTTAACAGTTTAACAGTTCTCCTATAATTGAACTAGTTGTTTTCCATTTCTTAAAAATGTTATAAACAAGGTGAAAAAAGTCTTGGTTTGAAACCATATTTACAACTATATAAGCTATACATTTAAATTATTTAAATAGACAACACTGTCCCCTTTATTTATTTATGGTGTCCTAGTTACAGATTTTTGGGGGGTGGAGTGTCCAAAATTCTATTATGAAAAAAGTCAACACAGATAAAAATTAAAAACATAATACAGCACACATCCAAGTACTCAGTCAGCACCTAGGGTCTGCAACTGATATGCTGCTATGTTTACTTTTATCACATCTTCCCATCTGTCCACACTGATTTTCATTCATCTTTCAGTCAATCACAAAAATTGAAGAGAAATCCATTATCTTAAAATAATGGATTTCAAGAATTCTTTGATATGGCTTTATATCTTACATATTTCGTAGTGCATTTCTGCTGCTTTCCCCTTGACTGACTATTGCCTCAGGGTAAAATTGCTACAATATGCTGTTTTGCATTCAAAATCCCTACGTCCTTCTAACAGCTTCTGACCTTCAGCACTGAGAAGGACAAGTCTGAGGCCTGCCTAATTATTGTTCCTTTGTAGTGCATTTCCCCAGTAGTCTAGATGCTTGCAGAACTTTATGCAGTATTCAATTTAAAAATTTTTAAAGATTACACTTAGATGCTAGTCTCTTATTAAATTTGCACTTCTTCAGTGATTTCTTAGGATCTGCATGCAGGAATCCCTACAACTAGCAGACTTCAGCTAGAGCACGTTTTCTTCTGTCACACTGGCTACTATTGCTTCTAGTGCATTCTTCACTGCTTTTTCTTTTTAAAAAATATATTTTACTGATTATATTATTACAGTCGTCCCATTTCCCCTG